CTGTGAGAGTGACTCAGAGAACATTCCCCCACGGCGAAGAATATGTAGGTAAGCCTAGATAGTTCCTCTGCAAACATTTATCTTGCAGTACTCCTTATGGGAAATGTGGTTCTGGTATGGCAGTCTGCTTGTAGAATGCATAGTAGGAGTTTGTTTTTTCTTTTATCTGGCATGGAATGTGGATGGGAGCGAGAGAGAATTTTTGAGAAATCAATCATACCTTTTCATGTTTCTCTGTATTGCAAATGTACCTATTTTTGCCTACATCTGCAACGGTAATCTTCGAGCATTGCAAACAATATTTTCGGTAATTGTTTATTTTTTAGCCTAAGAACTGTTTTTTTCCAGTCCTTCCAACTTATGGGAAAATTAGCATTGTTTCTATTTCTCCCTACCTTCTTGGCAACGACGGAACTTCATATTGGTTATCGTGATTATGCTTTCTACAAAAAGATGTTTCTTGGAATGGTATCGCAAGATGTACCCTTAGGACTTGTGTACGGTACGGGCTATACAATATTAAGGAAAACAATACATTGTGAGCTTTTCTTTTTCAGCGGAAGTGAAACGACTCTCCTTGCTTTTTGAAGATGCCAGCATGCTGAATCCGTTCAGTTACAAATCTCCCACTAACAGTCAAACGAATGTTGGGATCACTCGAACGGACGCGATAAGCTCGCAAAATCCAGCGGCGACGAATGCCTGATATTTTCCTATTACTGAATTTTTTATTCAAGATTTACTTTTCGTTTCTTTTTTTTTACTGTTCAGTTTTTGGCAGAGTGTATTTCTTAAAAGTAAATTTGTTTGAGCACACTATGTTTCAAAATTTAACGAGGACTGACTAACAGTCGTTAATAATCACGTTTGAGGTCGTTTCAAGAAACGCCGTGATTTATCTCTAACGTTTTACCGGGGAACGGTTTGAGATTTTTTCCGAAGAGCAAAGATACTGATCTCAACCGCTTCAGAAGTGTATATGGTAGTTCTGGCAACACTTTGTAGCTGCTCCTCATGCTATTGCTACTTGCGTGCAAAACCGAGATGTGTTGGAATCCTAAAAACTTTTCAGAATACTTGAGGATAATTTTCCAAAAAAAAAAATTCTAGGATAAGGATGTATTTTCGTAATAATTCAATTTTGAAACATAATGATTCTCCCCGCACACCTCTGCTATGAAAAATTACATTTTAATTCTCATAGATCTTAAAGGAGGGTAGACATCAAAAATTTCAAAATTTTCATTTTTACTGAAAAGATATAACTCTGAAGTATAAATATAGCTATGTACTTAAAAACCTGAAAAAAACACTTCAAGGACGAAAAAATGCTCTTTTTTGTCACCCTAATTTCTTCACTAGCTTGCTGCTGCGGCGTCGCTTTATAATGTGAAAAACGCGATGGTCGCCTCTTACACGCGTAGTGTAGTGGGTACGCTCTAGGCTAGTATTCAGGAGGTCAGAGGTTCAATCCCTGCTGGTGTTTTTACTTTTTTCTTCCCTTGTTTCCTTCGGATTGAACTTTTTGAACTCGGAATTTCTGAAGGGCTACCAGCGTGCCGCCGAGGCCTCGCTCCGAGGTACCAAAATCAGTTGAAAATGAAGAAACTTGTTTTATTATGTTAACAAATAAATTATGAAAAAAACTACAATTAATTTTTAGAAAGAGACATAACAATTGAAAAAAAAAACCACATAATTAAAACAATCCTCGTGCAGGGCTGGTCGTCGGAAGGTGAAGGAAGCAGTAAAAATGGAGACGTCTCTGAAAACCCTAGTCATAAAACAGTTTTTATTCCTAGAGTAATAACGAGAAGTAATGAGATAAATAGGAACAGTGAAGAAACGGTTATCGAAGAGAAAATAGTTTTTTTTCGCATGCCTATAAAAAACACCGGCGACTGGCAAAATAATCGGTCGATAGAACTTTAAATTTACATAAAAAATTCACTTTTATATGGGTTTTATAATAAATAAGAAAAAAGAGCTTTTTTAATGTTTGAATTCGTTAAAAAATGAAAAAAATAAAGTCGGGAAATAAAAAAATGAAAATGTTTGCGCGTGGGATTGCGTGCTTTAGGTGCGAACACCGCGACGGCAAAATACACATTCCCTGAAATTTTCCCCGAAATTTTTGCTGTCTGCCCTCCTTTAACCGTTGAAATCGAAACATGATTTGCTATTTATGAATGTATTGTCAGAACCACCTTTACTATCACGCTTGCTCCTTTTCACCCTCACCTTCATGAGGTCACGACCAATTTCCAGTTCTCCAGCTTTTTTAAAGCAATCAGCGTAACTTTTCTTGTTCCGAGTGTACGAGAAAATTAATTTTCCGTATCAGTACTCGAAAAGTTATAACACTTATATAAAAAAGTCCACACTTTTTTTTCCTGGCAACCAATCTGCTGCTCCGGCTTTTTGAGTTCCCTCACAAACTTTTCTTTTGGTAGAGTGTTCAGAGAAAGCCCTCCCTCATTTTCATCTTAGGGTGCTGCCGTAGTCTCTCTTGTTTCGTTTTGTTCATTTCATTCAGAGCTGAGCGTTTCTCCTCTGTTCCTTATCCCCGAATATAAACTGAAACTGAAAAAAATAAGTGGGAGCACATATCTCTTATTTGTGACTCTTCCCCATTTCTCTGTGTTTCAGCAAATGCACTTCGCTCATGTTACCAGGGAAACATTCATTCAAGCTTGTTTCGCCCGTCCTCCATTTTTCTCTCATGTCATTTATATCTTTTCGAAAAAAGAGTGACGCGCCATGGGATTATTCTTTTCAGTTTTTCTGAAAAGATAATTTTTGGCGCTGAAAGTTTACATTTACTAGGCGAGATTCTGCAATCCCAAGTTTTCCATAGTTATGGAACTTACAGGGGATCTCTTTTTGCAAGATAACTTCAGCAGAGTTTGATGAAAATTTCAGGATAGGTTGAGAATAGCCAATCTTCACATTCAAGAATTTTAGAATCCGCTCGCCAATTTCAGCCAAGTTATACCTGTTTCTGTACCGAAAATTGCGTTTTCAGAGCAAAAATAGCTTTCTTTCTTTTTGACTATCTGATTTTCTGAGAGGATTTTCTCAACTTTAAGACTTTTCTGAAAATGAAATTTGCTCTGTTATTTTTAAAATTGAATAAAATTTCAGACATTTCTGACATTTTCCGTTTTTTTCGATATTTTAAAATTGATCTTTAAGACACGTTCTCTGCAGAACTCAACTTCAAGCCTATTGTCCACTGTACAGAAAAACTCAAACTTGTTTTTTGGAGTTGATATTATTGAAGGTCGGGATACTTCTAAGTTAAAAATGTACATGTGGTTCGGACCCACACAGTACGGTCCAAACGGTGACCAACAATGGTCAAAAACATACTTGTAACGGGCCGGGCCGGGCTTTTTCCCGAATTTCGGAGGCCCGGCCGGCGGGCCTGTCATTCCACAAATTTTGACAATTTCAAAAAACACATAACGGGGGAACCTTATGTGATTTTTTTCGACCAAAAATTATTTTTCGAGCTTTGTTGATATTTTTTGATCAAACAGACAAACAATCCAAAAACACAAAAAATAATGGAGAAAATTGTATTGAAAGCTCAAAATTTGACTCAAAATGACAAAATTTTTGCTACCGGGCCTTCCGGGCCGGGCCCGGGCTTGAAAATTTCCACAGGCCCGGGCTTTGGCGGGCCGGCCCGGAATTTTACAAGTATGGTCAAAAAATGAAAATTCCGTTGGAGATAATGATTAGATTCAACATGGAAAAGTTTATTTTTGCTATTTTGAGCATTTTTTTGTGTTTAAACAAAAATTCTAGCTCATTTCCTTTCAGCTGAAAAGTTTGATTTTTGTTCCAATTTTGAAAAATTTTACTGAAAATCTGTTGTCGTGAAAAATTTTAACAGTATTTTCGAATAGATAACACCATATTCAGTTCCGGCGTGCAAAATAACAATAGAAAATGTTTATTTGAATTCGAATATCCTGAGTATTGTGCCAGTTTTTGGCCGCAAAGTGAGAAAAAATGAAGTTTCACCATGTGGGGGAGTACATGGCAACTAAAATTCGTCCAAAATAGACCCTCTCCAATATTGATAAAATTTGTACCAGATGTAGTATTTGTCATGGTTAGTATTCTGTGTTAGAGTTGTTTGCGTTTGTAGATTTTTTTTGAGCTTTTCATATTTCAGCTTCTATATTCCTTTGCTTTTCAGCGAGTTACAATTATTCAGAAATTATATTTCAATTGGTTGCTTCTTTCGAGTCTTTTTTATCTTTTGTGGGGGCGTTGTATTCATACATCTCATTTCTCAATAATTTTCATGAGAGAAATCATAAGATATAATTAGTGAAGCGGAAAGTAGAGCACAAAACTTCTTCTTGTGCACTCATCTTCGCATCAATTCTCGCTTTCATTTTTTGTTACCAAGGCAACACAATATTTCAAGTTAATTTTCAATTTTAGCTAGAGTTTTAATTTTAATGCGTGTGCTACCAAACATTATAATTCCTTTCAGCAAATGCCCAGACAGCGCAAATACCAGATTGTGATCAAGGTGGATCCTTCCCTCATTGGGAAAAGGAAGCGGCAAATTGAAGCCGCGAGAAAGGTATACTTATTACAGGTGACATATGAAAAAACTTTTGAATTCAGAATTTGGAGAATGACATCTGGTGGTGGACATATCTGATCCAAATCTCCTGTTCATTCTACCATCTTTTTCGTTTCTACTCTGACGGCGAGGAAGACCCACTTCAGAGTAACAAGTTCTTGTGTGCTCTAGCGATGTTTTTACTCAACGTGGCCACAATCGTCGCGAGCAGAAAAAAATCATGGTTCGCAAACATTCAGGATAATATCCTGGTAAGCAAAAAGTTGTGATGCATCAATAAGATTTTTCCATTCAGTTTGTGCACCTCGCATGGTTCCCAATTTGTATAGCGATGTTCCCTTCTCTTCCATCAACCGATACGATCACTCCCGCGCAGATTTACTGTAGATCTGGCTCGTACGCAATCCTGATATTTGTCGCACTAGGTGAGGATTGTTTTGACTACTGAAAGGCCTGGATGCTATGTCTAGTAGAAGTCAGTTTTCATTGTTCAGGCCAAATGCGTCATTTTCAACTCTACGTGCAATACACCGAGAAGGAATATGAAATTCTACCGAAATCCAAAAAGTGAACCCATTAACAATCATTCGCATCTATTTTCCATTTCCTGATGTCTCCTTTCAACTTTTAAATTTGTAATCCCCGTTTGGAATAAAATCGATTCTGAAAATCACTCTTCAAAAAATTAACTTTTGTTTTTTGATGATTTAAAAACGCCCACATCGCTCACTTACTTTCCGATTCCCACTTTTGTAAAGTTGAATGCCAAAATCACATAAATTGATATATTATTTTCGAAAAATGACTTTGGGTGCCAATTTATGTGAGCCAGATGTTTCGAAATTGCAATTGACCCAAGAGAAAAATTGAGATGGAGTATTTTTCAAAACTTTCGATTTGATAATACATGTTTCTTTTATAATGTAATTTACTATGAATCATGTTAAATTTGAACAGATTTACGAAAATCTGTTCTACATCAGCTTACGCCGCCATTTTCAAAAAATGAGAATCCATTTATGAGGTTCAAGCGTCCCATTTCTTGATTCTTGATCCCAATCTGTGCATCCCGGTCATTACCTTGGTGAGTCTTGCATGATGGTCACTATCCCTGGATGAATTGAGTCTTTTTTGCATGATTCGAAATTGAAAACCCAATATCTCATATTGATATTTGCAAATAATTAAAATCCGACTGAAATGTATTTAATATTTCGTATATGTTTTCGTGAAAGCTCTAGTCTTTCAATTACTGAAATGCCGTTTTTTTTGGGTGTAAGATGTTTTTTGTCTTAAATTCATTTTTTCCTACTGTAGAAATCCAATTTGTTGAATTTCGCTTTCGTGTCGGTTTTCCAGGCACTCCGCTGATTGGCTAAAGATTTTATTTCAGTTTTTTTGAGGCCGCGGTCGTCGTCAGTTTTCTAGACCCATATCTTTTTTCGGGCTCTTTGATTTCGGAAAACTTCCTATAGTTCGAGTGTAGGCAGAGATGAAGTAGCTGTATCAAGACTTCAGTTCACTCTTCCGTGTACGATATAGATTAGTGAAGCAGAGAAAGAAAGTTTTGATTTTTTGTGACCCCTGAAACTGATCGTAAACACTGGTAGAATGACCATCCTGTTTGTTAATTTTAAGCCAATTTATCTTGTCTCCTGTGAGAGAAAACAATAAGTGTGTACTGACAAAATGTTCATTATGACATTAAACGTATTTTGTCAGTATACTTTTTTAAATATATATTTCTCACAAGAACAGAGACAGATTGGTTTAAATTTGATGATTTTATTAGAGTTTTACCGTAGCAGAGTTTCGCTGTTCCATCTCTTTGAAAAATTTTGAAAAAATATCATTTTCATAAAATTAAGACGAATTTTGTTTTTAAGCAGAAATCAAAATTTTCACACATCCATTTTAGTTTACAAAATTCCATTAGTTTGATTTCGTTGTCTATCTTCAGTTCACAGTCACTTTGCTGATTGGTTGTCTTTTTTCTTGGTGAGGTCAAAGTCGTTTTGTCATAGCCACTGAGATCACGTAAAACTTTCTATGCATGCAGTGCTCTTCGAAAATGAGTTCACTGTTGAATAAAACTCTTAGAAAATTCTTTTTCAATATTTTTTCTAAAAACCTAACTAGGGAAGGTCGTTTGTGGGGTATGGGACTTCGATATGAGACCTATATCATTCGAAAGCTGAGGATGAGACATTTTCAAATACATATTCAGATTTTGCTGCGGTCTTACCAGATTCGAGAAAATCGAGTTTGAAATCTCAATTTTGAAAATGCAAAGGGGGGACCCCTAGGACTTTTTTTCAAAAAAAATTTTTTTTTGAAAAAACATGAAAAACTTTTAGAGTCATACTGTGTTTTCTAAAACTGTTTAAAATTGTGGTTGAGTGCGTTTGAAAACTGTTTTTGGGCCATTTCTTCCAACCACTTTTTGACTTTTGAGAATAGAAAGTTAATGGTTCATGAAAGATTTTGGATGTTTTTTTGATTACGCTTGCAAATTTAGATGTATCTATGCAATCTCACAGTTTTTTTTTGTTTTTTTTTTCAGAACAAATTAAAAAAAAAAGTTCCATGGGGTGATTTTTTTGGGGTTGAGGTTGGGGTTATGGGGTTGGTTTTTTGGGGGTTTTTTGGGGTTTTTGGGGTTGATTTTTTTGATTTTCATGGGGTGATCCCTTTGATTTTTTTTAATTTTTCGAAAATTTTCAAAAGAGCTAAAACAGTTTTAAACGTAAAAAAACAATCAAATTAGGTTTTTACAAGATTTGATAACTTATTTTCTTCTCGGAAACGAGAAATGTTGATTCCTTTCCTGATTTTCGACAGACTGTAGTACTGCAATGATCATCCAGTAGCACTCAAAACTTGTGAAAACATAGATTCAAACCATGTCTGGTTGATTTATCACTGTGTGGCTCGGAAAACTAACAATTCTAATGAACTCCGACATACAAAACTGGATGAACATTTTTAGCGTTGATTAACGAAATCACCAAAAAACTATGTATTGCTTAAAATTTTTAAGTAAAGTACGATTTTTAAGTATTACAACATTTTTTTTTAATGTGTTCAGAGCATTTTGAAGATTTCCACAAAAACCAAAAACAAAAACAAATTAAGGACAGATGAGAAATCGAACCCAACTCTAGTCAGTTACCGTCCTCCCTCCTCACCACTACACCACCAGTCGCTGCTTGCAACTGGTTACCCGATGCATTTAAGAAAAGGGGAGATCTCGCCCCCAAAATATTCGAATTTCAGCCAAATTTCGTCCAACAAAAACGCCACGTTTCCCCTTTTCCAAAAATCGTCTGACTAAAATTTATTCAGGAAAATTACCATATCAATAGCTTTCCCAATTTTTCATTATACTGTTTCTTTTCCTCGGTTTTTCATTCATAATCTCCCTGAAAATGTGAGCAACTTAAGACTTCTTGAATTATATTAACACGTAATCTTTTCCTTTATTTTACATCAAGGCAAATCCAAATGTAACTGACCGCAGAACTTTAGAGCAGGACGCTAATACCTTTTTTTGAACGTATAATTTTGAAAGATTAAAACATTTTCAGTATGAGTAGAAACGAACGAAATATGAAGAAAAAGGAAGCTAAAGAAAAAGTAGAGGCGGCTGCTAAGGAGAAACAAGAGAAGATTGCAGCTGCCAAGCAGGTAAAACTGTCATTTCGCAAATTCCTGCAAAGTATTATTTTCAAGGAAACCGAAGAAAGCGTTTGGTACTACACTTTCCTCATTCAAATCTGTGCCGTGTTCTATCATCTACTATGTTATGGCTCGTCGAATGACAAGAATCCACTGACGAGTGAGAACCTGGTTGCTGCTGTGGTTATTGCCATCGCCAACCTAGTGTCACTCTATTTGAGCCAACAGAACTCAATTGCCTTCGAAAGTATCCAAGACTATGTTGTGGTGAGGAAAAAGAATACCAAGAAAAAGGAATGCTTGTCGTTTTTAGCTCTGTCAAATCGGGTGGGTGATGAACATGTGTTCTAAGCTTCCAAGTGATCAGATCTTATTCTGTAGAACGACACCGGAAAAGTTGACCCTGAAGTGTATTTCTTACTTCATCATGATGATCATCACTTTCGGTAAGATTTTGACTACTCATGTATGAGTACGATTTGTCTTGTTACAAAATGCTCCTTGACAAGATCTGACAAAAGTTGAAATTATTCAGCCACTGTGCTTTTCATCCATTGTGACAGGCTGTTTTTTTTCTGAATACATCCTTTTTAGCCCAAATGCGTCACTACTATCTCTACAACAAGTATATGAACAAAGACCACGAGAAGCTTAAGAAATTCAAAAAGTGATGCGTTTGAAAGCAATAGTAACAGCCATCCGTCTTAAGCATATATCTAAATTACGTTTTCTCTCTCTCTCTCTCTCTCTCTCTCTCTTTCTCTCTTTCTCTCTTTCTCTCATTTTCTTTGCCTGTTTTTGTCTTGTGGATTCATTCTGTTTTAAATTACGCTGTATTTCTTAAACACTGAATCATTATTGGGGATGGTGATGATTAAGAAAAACAAAGTCTGTTAATGACAAAGACAAAATGAAACGACAAAATGCATGAAAAAGAAGAATCAGTTTTCTATTTTCGTTCAATATTTGAGAGGTTGAGAAATATATCAGAAATGGGTAAATGTTTATTTCTTTTGAAGATTTATTTAAATAATTTATGGATAGTAAACGGTTTGTTTTGAAATACCCAAAAACGGTGGTTTTCATATCTTACAACTGGACAACATTTTTTGAATTATCAATCAATCCAAAGAATTTTTTTACGACAATAGTTCAAAAAAAATTAGATGCTTTTTTGCACTGTGTGCGACGGAGCGCGCTTTCAAAAAACAGAAAAAAAAACATCACTCACACGCAGCGCTAGTGAAAAAAAACCCAGACTCTCAATTCTCAATGTTGAGCAAAACGTTGTGATTTTTCATGAAATAATGAAAACTTCTCCCACATTGAAAATTAACTCAAGCTACGCAAACACACGACGGGAAAATACACACACCATGTTTTGCCCCTTTGGCTGGCGCGTCAGTTGCGCGTTCATTGATTTTCACATCTTGTTTTCTCTTTCTTCTCTCTTTCAACTTTTCTTCAAACCCGCGTGACAAACAGTTTTTGATTAGTAGAAGATAATTCACTTCACCATACCGCCAGTAAAAAGTGAAGACCATTGACTAGCCATCATTCATGGAAACAGAGAAAGTTCAGAAGGTAAGCGGTTTTTTAAAAAAATTTCTTCGTTTCAATTTCATAACGAATAAGAGTTTAGTGGAGAAGCGTCAGAAATCCTAGTAAAGTTATTCAATCTTACTACTTGGAAGGCAATTTTTACCATTACGACAACATTGAAGAGTTGGCAAATCTTGCTGAATGTTCCCATAAAAATGTAAGCTTATTGCTAAAAATAGAAAGATCATTGGAAAAGATACGATATATTTTAGGTTCGAGATACTCTTTCACGTTTAAGAAAAAGAGACGAGAGGGATGGAAAATATGTACCTCCGCCACCTCGTCAGCAATACGAGTTCACAGATGAGCAGCGAAGAATTCTTGAAGATACGTTTGCTTTTGGAGAAAACTCACTACCTGGAAGATGGACGCCTGAACTCACAAGAGAAATGAGTGGTAAAACCGGTTTAACAATAAAGCAAGTAAACAACTGGCTATGTAATCAACGCCGGAAGCAAGATGGTAGAGGCAATGAGAAAGACAGAAAAAGAAGACTGATAATGAGAGAAGAACAACTTAGAAAAGGAATATCTGTACGTGACAATTGATAATTGCCATCAAACTAAAAAGAAAATTTTCAGAGAAGCAGCGTGTTTTCTCAAAGTCAATTGAAGTTGTTCGAGCAATATCATTTCAAAGCAGAGCTTGCCGAGATTGGAGGAAGCTCATTCAAAATACCATATGGAGATCTTGTTGTGCAAACTGGACAGGACAGAAAAAAGGTAAAGCAATCACACCCTATCTTTCTTCAAAATTGAATTTTCAGATCAGAGACTGGTTTTCGAAAAGAAAATCGAAAGACAGAAAGTTTGCTGAAACAATGAAGAATACGTTGGTTGAGAATGAAGTGAACGTTCCTTTTGAAACCAATACGGGTCCAAATTTGGAAACGGTGGGTTATGATGAAACGAGTGCTAGTAAATTTTTTGTTAATTCGATTACAAATCAACCGCCAAATGAGTTACATCAGTCGTTATCCAAAATTCTTAGCAGTTTTGTTTTTCCGGAAGATCGAGTGTGATTTTAGTGTGATTTCTTGCATTCTGCCAATTTTTCAATTTGTCAATTTTTTGAATAAAATGATTACTTCCTTGCATTCTTTTTTGTTTCCATGATCAGTTTTGTGATCAGTCTGCCAAAAATTACAAGCGCCATCAGATAAGATGGGTTGGGCAGTTTAAAATGTATAATAATGTGAAACTGGGAAGAAGAGAAAATATGGGAGAAAGAAGAACTTATGAAATAATTGAGAGAATAGAAAAAAGAGACACCGGGTTTTTGATTTGAACAATAGCAGTTGTAGTCCCCGTCAAAAGTCCATAAATGTTTTTCCAAAAAACTAATCGAACTTTTTTTGATGAAACTGAAAACTCTCTTGTCTTCATAACATAAATAGAGCTTCAATTTTGAAGTGGAAATTTTCACTCAAAAAAGGCGAATTCATCCAAAAGAGACAAACAGCTTGGAAAGGTTAAAACTCTGAATTCAGTGTTATCAATATAAGTTTTAGCACATGGTTGGTTTTAAGCGGTAAATCTCTTTTTGTTGGCTTTGCATCTAAGGGTACATTGAAACGCGTACTTTGAGTTTAAAGGGGGACTCCGGTCAATATTTTTATTGCATCAAAATGTGTTAAAATTTATCTATTTTCAGAATATTATTGCGAAAAAATTCGAAAAAAATCCGAAATCCCCAAAAAACGCCGTTGAAAAGGAAAAAAATTCAAAAAAAGGCGCCGCCGAGGGACGAGGATTTTCAGTGGGACCCCTAGGCCACGCGAGCGGCGCGACTTTCTTACCGTACAAATTTTCCGGATTTTTCTTGCTTTTATCTCCGACAGGTAAAAAACATTAAAAAACACTGTCGGCCACTTGAAAATAATGCTGTCAGGCGCCGTGGTCTAGGTTTCTTCACTGCGCGGGAATTCAAATCCTCGTCCCCCGGCGGCACCTTTTTGAATTTTTTTCATTTTCAACGGCGTTTTTCGGGGATTTCGGATTTCTTTTGAATTTTTTCGCAATAATATTAGGAAAATAGATAATTTTTAACACATTTTAATGCAATAAAAATTTTTGGTCGGAGTCCCCCTTTAAAGGGATATTGGATCAGAAGAAACATCAGATGTCGGTAATTCCGGGTACATCAGAAAAAGGACCCCAGGGACATTGGCAAGTTCAGTAGGTGCATCAATAAAAAATACTATTTCGATCTGAAATGAAACATTATATATCTTTTTGTTTCGTTTATTTGTTTGAAAAAAAACCCGTTTTTCAGATTGCTTCAAATTGTAAAAATAATTATCAAACGGAAAACCATATCATAATCCATTCTCTTTCATCACAAAATTATGTTCACTTTGCCCATTCGATCCACCAATTCTTTTTTACTCCATCCATTAACCAAATGTATGTGGAAAAAATAATTTCGGCTCAACTTCTGTAATATCTCTTGCTTGAATTTAAGATTTGGATCGGCACATAATGTTCTTATTCCATGTGACATTGAAGCGAATTTTACTTTGTTTTAATTATTCAAAAGCGATGTTTGCTTCATATTGAAAGGTTACTAATCAGAAGGGCTCATTTTGAGTTACTTGCCATTTCCTCTGATATTTCAATGATAATTGCTCGATGCTTAAAGTTTTCAAGAATTGAATAACAAGTATGACAAATTTAATCACTACTGGGACTATGGCTGTCAGGCGAGAGAATGTAAAAATGAAGAGACGGTCGAGACTGAAATAATTTTATTTTCATCAATAGTTCTACTCTTGGAGTTTTTTTGCATTGTCTTGCTTCAACGTCTGCTATAGTTTTTGTTCTTTCACTTTCTGATGTGAGTAAAAATCGATCATATCCTTTTCAGACATGGGTGGCCTCATTTCAAAAGACTCGCCCTTCCAAGAAGGGCACAACTTTATGATGACAACAAACGACATAGTAATAATCCGCAATTCGGTATTTAATGATTTTTCCGTTTTCAGGATGAGGATTTGAAATTCAAAATGACGATTCATTCTTTTTTTTTTATTTCTCAGTGGTTATTTGACTTTCATTACAACACTCCTCATCACCCAAAATAATGAGATACTGTCGACTGTTTACTTTCTCATGTGTGGATTAGGTTTTTTGAATTTCCTCCTGGTCGCAGCAGTTATTTTTAGGCTTTTTTGTCGCTTTGCTCTCTACATAGCGGTACCACGTATACTCAGTAGTCAATAAACCAATTTCTTCTTTTTCAGTTGGTTAATCTCATTCGAGCAATCAGTTTATTCATCATCATGCCTGTATACTTCATAGCCAACTTCCCTCCCAAACCCTGCGAAGTTTATGACCAAGTGTGTTTCGAAAAACGGGACAAGGCACCATATGATCTTACTATGTCGTTAGATTCATTTATCTTCGAACTCCTTTATGCTGTGGTTGTTTACGGTGATTCGGTTTGTTGATATATTTCCTTAAATCAACAATGAATTTCAGTAGAGCTATTGAATTTCCGTATGCGTTCTGATGTAATGAGAATCGACATGAAAATGAAGAAAGAAGCTCGAGAAGAAATTGAAACGTCGGCTGAATCAATGCAACGTTTTTGATCGGCCAGTTTAAATCCAAAGAAACGACACGCTATTTGAAAAAAGAACTGATACATTCCTGTTGTTTCTCAGTAATTCTCTAAATCATTAAGTGTGTTGTATTTCTTAAAAATTCATCTTCCCATATTTGATCGTTGCTTCAATTTGGTTTTTTTATACCATTTTTCTGCGTTTCTCCAGAACAGTACACTCTCTCGCCTTTCGAGTTTTAGCTCTCTCTCTCTCTTTTAGATCCTTCACTATTCATTTTTCGAATTTTTTCTTTTTCCTTTTTCTCTTTTCTTTTATTTTTTTTTTCATAAACTCATTTTTCTGTTTTCTCTTTTTTTCCGTTTTATTTCTACTTCTATAAATCTCCATTTTTTAAATATTTTCCTGATTTTCTAGCTTTCAATTTTTAAAAAAATTATTTTTTCATTTCTTCGCTTTTTTTCTATTTCCCCATCTGAAACGAAAAGAAAGGCGGTTGGAATATAATTTAATGAATCGAAGCGAAAAACTTGTGGGATTCAATTGAATGACTGTAAACCTAAAAAAAATCTGACGTTTTCGCTTCTCTCTCAACTTGTATTATTATCATTACATTTGTCAGTCAAGTGATTTCAAATAGGTATACCGTATTTCCTCTAATAGAAGCCCATGGGCTTCTATTTTTCAACCTCTCTTTCAGCGTGGGCTTCTATTAGAGGTGGGCTTCAATTAGATGGTGGGCTTCAATTTTTCAATGATTAATTTTCAAAAAACATTTTCTTCAAAAAATCAGAAATTTAACAATTCGGAAGTTAAGAATTCTGAATTTCTGTGTTTTTTTTCAATGCGAAGTTTTCATTCTGCAATTCTAAACCACAAAATTAAGAATTTATAAAATTCTGAGATTCCAGAATCTCTGAATTCAACACTCAGGAACTCTGTAGATCAAAAATTGAGAAATTTTCCAGTTCTTAAATCACAGTTCTAAAAGGTCTGGAATTTTTCTTTACCGTTTTTTTTTTCTAATAGACGCCCATGAGCTTCTATTAGAGGGTGGGCTTCTATTTTTCGAAGCACCTCGTGGGGTGGGCTTCTATTAGAGGTGGGCTTCAAATAGAGATGGGCTTCTATTAGAGGAAATACGGTATTTTTCAACTTTTTGTTCATCAATGCTGGATTGAACCGAAGACGGCGCAGATGATGCAAGTGGCGTAGGTTAGGATAAGTTTGAGCGAACGTTGAGCGTCTTTAGAGCGGTCGTTGGGTGAGATCTACAGAGAGCCAGAGCAAAACCCGCTTTACTTCAGCACAAAACTTGCGGGCAGCAGCCGAGTAAGTGTAGTCTAACAAAAAACACATTTTTATTTCATAAAAAGTATGAGAACGGAGAAAAGAAAATCAAAAACTTTGGAATGAGGAAGATGAAAAATAATTAGGAGAAGACATGTATATTTGGGAGAGGACAACAGAAAGTGGGTGAATATCAACAGAATTTACAAGATTTGGGAAACAAGGAAACAGAAAAAAATTACTCATTAGTGTCCTATAAAAGATAAGATTTAAAAAAAAGAAAACAAGGAGATTCGGGAATTAACAACAAAATTCCAAATTTCTTTACCAAAAAAAGGAACTGTTTTATAAATGAATTCGATACAAATAGATTCCAATAAATCGATTTCTACATCAGATTAATGAGACCAACCGAAGCAAATCTGGCTCTTCTCGGATTGTTGAATTGCCAGTTGTTCTTGAAGCAGTGATACTGCATCTCTTCTTTTCTCAGAAGAATTTGATGAAGACGTTCTTGACACATCTCCTCCAATTGCTCACTCTTCTCACTCTCATTGAACTCAATAAACCAGTAATCCGACCCACGGATTTTCCACTCCACCGACATCGATTCCCACAGCTCCTTTCCTTCGACATCATAAGCGCACATCAAGGGGGGCCAGAGACTTTTCTGGAAGATCGGAATGTCTGTTGGTTTTTTGAACTGCTTCAGCTCCTTCTCTTCCGCAAAGCTTCTGAATTCCTTGATGATACCATCCGATTTTCCTTTCTCCATCATTTTTATGTACCAGTTTTGGAGCTTCATTTTTTTTGGAGTTTTCTGGTTGGCTGGTTTTATGTTGAAAACGTAGTCATCCCCATGAAGAGGAGGATCCGCCCAGAGGAAGCTATTCTGGAGTTCCATGCTTCTCGCCAAGTGGAAGTAGCTCAAAATCAATTCCCGATAGATTTGAGTCCGAAGGGAGGCTGGTTGGAAGAGTTTGATGCTATCCAGGCAATCAATCACCAACCACGATTTTCCATCTCTAACAGGGTCACGGTATTCAGAAGCAAAGATCGAGAAAAATATTTGATCTACACCATCTTGTTGCTGGAAGACGTGGATTGCACGGGACCCATATTTTACCACGTTTCCGTACTTGCGAATGAACTTCTCCTCCCAGGAAGATGGAGCCAAGTCTTCTGTCTTCGCGTAGTCCTCTGGATTGAAGTAAGTTCTCACTGAGATCTTTTGAAACTTCTGATTGCGTTCCAAAGCATTCTCCAAAAAGCCATTGATCCTTTCCTCGATGAAGTCGGAGTCAGGGGATGATCCAGAGGTATCCAAAAACAATTTATAAGATTCTGGAGCACAATTCCTGCACATAAATTCTTCGGGTTCTCCATAAAAAAATGAGCAGCACTGATGCCAGAGTCCAGAGCAACTTTGACATGTGAAGACTTCCTCCATTTTTTCATTTGTGTTTATCTTCTTTCTCCAGCCTTTCTTGTTTTCCATATAATCGAAGCACGTGTCACAGATAGCCTCCTGGAATTCTCCATTCTGTCTGTGAGGGATCCAGAAATGGTCATCTGGATGGATTCGGCAGTCTTGGAATCCAGAATTGCATAGCAGATTAGAGCTCGAATAAGAGAGATCGATGTTCTCAGAGCAGCATATGAAAGCAGGTTTCTGGAAATTTTGAGAAATTAGATTCAAACTTTATTTGGGAAAACAGAAAATCACTAGTTCATTTTGATATTCGGAAGTTTGATACAGTCCCTTCTTTATTCGAAGAGGAGTTCAACGTTAAGTCTGATAGCCTACAAACTACAAAACATTAGCAGACCACTCATGAGCGCGTTTAAGACGGGTATCTCTGCTCACGCTTTGAGCCTAATTATCTCTATTGCTATAAGAGATATCCAAAATTTATGAACTGATGACAAAACGTTTGTGATAATATTACCAAAATATTGGAAATTTACAGTTTTTTGATGCCTCTTACAGGCATTGAAATAATTGTGCTTAAAATACAAGTGGGAATACAAGTGCTATGATAATTTACATACTATAAATATAATTGCAAAGTGATTTCATGTGATTTTTGAATTTCAACTCCGGAGGAAAATGAGAAAAATTCAGAATTTGAATGTTTAAACATTTTAAATAATTTTTAGGATTTTCAAAACACTAACCGATCTTTTTGCTCTCTTCAAACTTTGAGACTGATTATCCTGGCTCTCTTCTTTCTCCAATCTTTTGTAACTTCGTTTCTTCAGCTTTTGAATGGATTTCGTGTTGTCCTGAAAATAGAAGTTGTCATTAGTATCAAAAATGCACATTATTTTTCAATGGAATTCTCAAAAGTTACCAAAATTATCAGATTCTCAATCCACTCACCTTGTTCTGATTCTTTTGAATCTTTTTTAAGCTTTCAGTTTTGTTGTCAGTGTCCGAGAAACCAGTAAATGACGAATCTTTATTTTGGACATTTCCGGAATTCTGTTTCAAAGTTTTCAAATCTGGAAGTTCCCGGATCTACTCACCTTTTTCTTATTCTTTCGAGTATCTTCAAAGCTTCCAGTTCTGTTCTCAGTGTCCGAGGAACAAGTAGAGGGTGATTCCTGATTTTGGACTTTTCCATATTTGGCATGCTTCGAAGATCCGTTCAGTTTCATCACTGAGGCTCCAGGACGTCTGTCACTGGAGACATCATGGTGGTTCCACGCGTTGGACGGTGAGTTTTTCGTGATGACCTTAAAAAAATGAATGAATTCCTAAATTTTTTTGTAAGAATATTGAAAACAAGACGCTTTTTTGACAATTTCGAAAACTGGAATTCATTTGAAAGTTCTTAAAAAGAGATCTTGCCCAAGAGTTTTTGAGGTGTGTATGTTTATATCTAAGAGCTAGCGGATGCCAAAACATGGGGAAGAAAAAAGAAACATTTTTGAATGAAAAAAGTACAGTATCCTAAAAAGAACACCATCCCAAAAGGTACAGTTACCCAAAAAGTACAGTTTTCCCAAGAGTACAGTACCGCTAAAATTACAATACCCATAAAAACACAGTATCCCCAAAAGTACAGTATACCTAAAAATTACAGTAGCCCTAAAAGAACAGTATCTTTGAAACAATAGTATTAAAAGAGTACGGTAACTCAAAAAGTGCAGTAATTCTAAACGTATAGTGACAAATAACTATTGTATCTCAAAAAATTATAATATCTCTAAGGTGGCAAAAGTAAAGTATCAATTAACTAAAAATACGGTATCCATGTAAAAAGAAAAAGAAAAGTACACCTGAATACAAATGAATGGACAAAATGTTGCTAATTGTTTATAATATGCTTATCGATAGGCGGGGCGTGAACTATTCAGTGAAATCTGATCCCCCGAGAGCAGATGAAAAAGTACAGTGTTCATAGCATGGTGGTATTACATGAAATAAAGTATTCAAAAAAAAATCATAAAAAGTACAGTATCCCAACAAAGTTCAGGATTTCAAAAAGTACAGTATCCGTAAAACAAAGTATCCCAAAAAGTAGAGTATCTCATGCTAGGTGTAGTATTCTACAAGGAGCAGTATCTAAAAAATTACAGTAGCCTTCAAGGTACAGTATCTATAAAAGTACAGTACCCCAGAAAGTACAGAATCCCGGAAAATATGATATTCCAAAGAATACGGTATCCCTAAACATCCCTAAGTACCCCTAAGTACGCTACCGCAAAAAAGCCAATATCCCTAAATGTACACGATCCCGAAAAGTACAGTATCCTTAACAATAAAAAAGCATAGTATTCCTGTAATGGGAATAGAACGTAAGATGAGAAAATTACAGTATTTAGAATTAGAATGATTTGTTTTCGAACGGTGTCATATTTACGAACATACAGTATCCCAAAAAATCCTTGAAGTGGCAAAAGTACAGTATCCTGTAGGTAAAAGTACGGCCTATATCTGAAAAGAAAATTAAAAGTACACCTGAGCGCAAAGGAAGAGCAGGGGCTAATTGTTTATATTATGCTTATCGACGGGCGGGGCGTGAACTGCGACAGTGAAATCTGATCCCCCGACAGCAGATGAAAAAGTACAGTATTCGATAAGTACAGTAAGTTTGAAAGTACAGTATCTCTAACAGGGCAATATCCCAGAAAGGACAGTATCCCAAAAAAGTACAGGATTTCGAAAAGTGCAGTATCTTTATAAAAAAATAACCCAAAAAGTACAGTATCCCAAGCTAGGTGCAGTATTCCATAAAAAACCAGTATTCTAAAATTTACAGAACCTCTAAATTTACAGTATCTCTAAAAGTACAGTATCCCAGAAAGTACAGAATCCCGAAAAGTATGGTATTCCAAAAAATACATTACCCCTAAAAGTACAGTGTTTCTAAAAGTAGAGTATTAAAAAAGTACAGTACTTTTAACATTAGAAAAGTATTCCTGATATGGGAATAACTCATAAGATGGGAAAAGTACAGTACTTTGGTGTGAAGAATCTTCTTGGTGACCTTATCGGTTGGAGGCACAAGTTTATATAACAATTATTTATTTATGCGACGTTTCGGCAGCTTGCCATCTTCAGGAGACAGATTAATTACCAAAAAATGAACATACAAAGAATGCCAACCGGCGTAGATTTCAGGTGAAGCCTGATAGAAACCGTGAGGAGAAAGATAGAGAAAAGGGGAAAAACAAATCGTAAGGATGAATGCAATAAAGACCATAAAGACCGATAAGGTCACCAACAAGATTCTTCACACCTCTCCAACCGATAAGGTCACCAGGAAGATTCTTCACATCAAAGTCAAGTCAAATATCTACAATGCACGATAAACGGATTGCCAAAACCGTATCAATAAAAGTACAGTATTCCTAAAATCACAGTATCGAAAGTACGGTATCCTCTAGATGAATGTACGGTATCAATGTGAAAGGAAAATTGAAAATGCATCTGACCGCAAAGGAATAGCAGGAGCTAATTGTTTATAATATGCTTATCGACAGGCAGGGCGTGAACAGTGAAATCTGATCCCCCGACAGCAGATGGAAAAAACAGGAATAGTTATGGGCAGGAGATGGGTAGCAGATCCTAGAAGAGAACAGCATCCCAAAAAGTACAGTTTCTCTAGCTAGGTGCAGTATTCCCTAAAGAACAGTATCCCAAAAATTACACTACCCCTAAAAGTACAGTATCTCTAAGAGTACTGTATACCGGATAAGATAGTATTTTTAGAAATACAGTATCCCAAAAAGTATGGTATCTCTAAAAATACGTTATCTCGCAAAGTGCAATGTCGCAAAAAGAACATTATCCCAAAAACTACATTATCCCAAAAAGTACAGTCTCCCAAAAAGTACAGTATCCTAAAAACAACAGTACTTCTAAAAATCCCTAAAATGTCAAAAGTACGTTATGTTAGATGTGGGAAAAGTTCAGTTTCCTCACACGGTGAAAAGTACAATACTCTCTAGCCCAGGGTTGCAATCTGACGGGCTGGCCGGCGGGCCGGCCCGGCCCGGCCGGCCGGCAATTAATTAATATTTGAACGCGCGCCATTTTTATTATCTCTCCGAGTGCTACGATCCTTCAACGAACGAATCGGTTGAGGAGTATTGGAAAAGAAAAAGATTCGATACCCCGGACTGTACTCAGCAGCACTTTTCGTTTTTTCGATTGTTCCCAGTGAAGCCATGTGTGAGACTACGTTCAGCACTGCGTCGTTTTTGTTAGATAAAACAAGAACAAGATTACTGTACAAGCGTGTGGAGATGGTCGTTCTGGGTTCGCAAATAGCCACGAAATTTCCACACTGGCTCGACTGATTCTCTCACTAATTGTAGGGATTTTTCTAGTTAATTTTATGTTACTTTTCTATCTTTTTTGTTGGATTGGTTGATATGAGCTTTAATTTTCTCCCCCGGTTTCCATTTCTTTGTTTCCCCTTGTTCATTTATACGGTTTTTACATTGTTATGCTACTTGTTAAGAAATAAATTCAAATAATTCTTCAATAATTTCTGTTTTTTCTTAAATTCGAACGTGCCGAACCGGCCGAACCGGCCGGGCCGGGCTGGCCGGGGCTTCCGGCCGGGCCGGGCCGGGCCGGAGAAAAAATAATCTCGGCCCGGCCGGTTGCAACCCTGCTCTAGCCAAAACAACGGTATATATGTAATAAGAAAAGAGTACACCTGAGTGGCAAGCGAAGAAGCAAGACGTTGCTAATTGTTTACAATATGCTTATCGGCTGGGTAGGGCGTGAACAGTGAAATCTGATCCCCGACAACAGATGAAAAAAAAACAGGGGCTAGTTATGGGCAGCAGATAGTCCGACAAATTTACAAGAACTTACCGACTGAAAATTCATCTCCATTCAATTTTTATCATCTCGATTTTGTCTTCTGCAAAACTTGAAATTCGTTCGTCCGGATGGAATTCATCAAAACTGAAAAAAGAAAAAGTTAATTTTTTGCTGTTACAGTAAATGATTCAAACATTTTCCACGTCAAAGAGTTACATTACCAGCTTGAAGAATTTAAATAAAACATGTGGACCTTTATGACTTTAAAGTAAAAAAAAATGCGAAAATAGTATTTTCCCCATATTGATAATAATGTGGTATAAAATCAAAATGCGTTCTTATCGTTGGTGCAATTTTCGGAGCACTGAAAATCGGTTGAAATTGTTTGCAAACCCACGTTTAGCGAAAAACGAAAAAATTCAAAAATGGGCAAAGACGAAAAGAACGAGCCATATTTTACTAGAGTTTTACCAAGTCAAAATACCGAATATGATACGAATTTGATCAAAGTTAAAGAGTGAAGAAAAATGAAAGTTTTCAGCTGAAAGGAAATTTGTTGGAAACTTTGTTTTAACGCAAAAATCCTCAAGATATTAAGGATAATCTATTCCAAGTCAAATCAAATCATCTCCATCTTTCAACCAAAACTGGTCACCATTCGGATAGCATCTATTGGCCTACCTCAAACCAAATGTTACATACCCCAATAATTACGAATTATAATAAAATGCAAGAAAAAATAGTTTAAATATTCATGTATATTCATGGGCGATATGACTAAAGCCGAGTTTTACAGAGAACGTTTATCAGATTATGAAGAAAGGAGAATTAAGGAAAAAACTTATAAAAAACTTGATGATTGAATTCAAATGCGGAAAATGTCCAACAGTATTCATGAAAGTTGTAACCGTTCCGAGAACCAAAATTCTTTCTAATGATCAAATTTCAAAATGGAGCCGGAATGAATTGAATGCAATACGGAGACTGCAGCACTCTGGGACATTTCAAACGGTTTTTCCAATCACAACCCTAATATCGAAAATCTTGAAATTTTTTACCTGAACCCCGAATCAACTGTTCCCCTGGCAAAATGACTTGTTACTTTTTTATGGGCTCATTGTATTCTTGTTTTTGCCCTGTTTAAGTCATGTCAAAACAACACTCAAACTTTCGATTTATTGCTCAAAAGTTTATTTATAACTCAAAGATGTGTGAAAAAAAAAGACGGAGGTTCTCAAAGAAGTTCTCGAGCGGTGTGTTTTGATTTCAGAAACCTGAAAAAAAGACCCCAACCGTTTTGTCAGTTTTCTGATATCCGTTGCATTCTATGCATATTTTCATAAATTTTATATTTTAATCGCAACACTTGCGCACCCTTATTTCCTGTTATCTCAATCAGAAACTCAATATGAGAGAAACCAAACTGAATTAACTTATAATAGATTCTAGGGTGGATTTCCTATAGCGTATTTTACTTTTGATCCTTTTTTGAAAAATTATTTTTACTTTCAAACTAACTGAAATTATTTTTGATCGAAAAATTTATTTCAGATGCATCATTCACAAACTACAAACGTCAAGGTTTGCGAGTGGCCCGTATTAAAAGCCGGATTTGAATTCAATCGAAAACCTAACAGTTCAGCTTGTGCATTTTGTACAGTGCATGCAGTTCATTTAATGCAGACAATTTTTTTTTAATTTTTGGTTGTATGTTAAACCCATGGGCTTCAATTAGAGAAAATACGACGCTATATCTGTGTACAGACATGCGAAGCAATTCAAAACTGCAAGATCTCGAAGATGCAATAGATGCCAATTGAAATCCCATCACTGCCGAGTAGGAGACTCTCGTGGCGAGAATGCGCAGAAATCGGATGTTTGAAATAATTTTCAAAAATCGAGGCAAAAGAATTATCGAATTACTCTATTCAGTTTACCATGTATGTTTTTTCTCAGATTCATGAATAAATAGTTT